CTAGAGAAATCTGAATGAAAAACGTAGCACCCACTTTATTCAGCTAATCTTGTTTCTGCAGGCTATAATTAGTCTGGGTGTTCGCGAAACCAATTTCTGGGACTAGAACCGACATCAAAAAAAGAAACTTAAAAGAACTTAGTTTGTACTTTTTAGGTAGACCTAAGGCATTATACAAATGATGTGTCACCAAACTGACTGAAAGACTGAACGATATTAAAGAAAACACCGGAGAACATAGATGTAATTTGACAGGCCTATGAACACTAATTTTGTTATTTTCAGTATACATGATGAAAGCGGAACGAACTTTCAATCCAACTTGGCACTTCTGAAAAACACATAAGTATGGGAAAACGGACGTATGTTTCATGATCATTTTTATAGGCACGTCCTTTTTCCATCAAAGGGCATTTACGGCAGAAGGGTGAGGATTCAAAAGCTCAAACGTCAGGATAACAGTACAAGGTGCTTGATTTTTAAAAATTAGTAAAAGAACGGACAAACGCACACGGAATAGGATGCGATGGAACCGAGTGAGCAGAGATAAGTGATGCTCGTCAAGGGATCTACCTCTGTGAGGTAGTTTTCTAACATCTCCAGAATTATCCGACCCTGTGGGCGACCAGAACTCCACCAGCCGCGCCGATTCCTCTCCCGAACGACTAAAGATAGGGAAGGAGGGGACCTGCAAACAAACAAGAGACCACAGAAACATGAACATGTGCAGCATCCACGCATAAGTCAATAAGCAAATGCCATGTGCGACTCACACAGCCTATATGCTGGTAGTACATATAAGGAGCAGACTTTTATTTATACATACTGCATACTTATAAGGCATTACCGGCAAACATTGGGGCTTGCATGGTACGTATTTCTGCCTCATTGGGCATCATTAGCTGCAGTTACCCAACTCCAGTGTAGCCGCGGAAATTGCAGCCACACTCGAGTTTCGAACTCGCTTCTCTCCGGCCAGGGGCCGACGCCTTTACAATCGAGCTATCGGGCCCGACGTTTTGCCGGTTGTTGATCGGGGATATGCATTAGTACATATGTGTACAACGAACATATACAGGACACACCTGCCCTGGTATTTGATGCCTTTCAGCTGCCAGGGGGGATGTAAATCTCACAACCGTTGCCACATGACTAATTATATGTTACTTCCTAGATTTCAGTAACACTTATTTTATTAGGCATTACCGGCAAACGGTTGTGAGATTTTCACCCACCCACGACAGCTGAAAGGCACCAAATACCAGGGCAAGTGTGTCCTGCATATGTTCGGTGTACACATTTGTACTAATATAGTATAACACACAAACTTCAGGCATTCGTAGTAAGAAGACTTCCGCAAAATTCATCTTTAAACAAACATTCGCATTCGCACCTTAAAAAACGATGGTTTGCTATCTTGTACTTACACTTATCAGGGCTGTGATCATGCCTGACCTAGCCGGCTTCAATGATGTCACGCATGGTACCTCTCCAGGCGTGACGATTGGCGGCAGCGGATTTGGAGAGCTCCAACCAGTCTCTTCTCTAGTGACGCAGACCGAAGATAGAAGGTCCACGAACTGCGCCCATGTCTTAACGGGCGCTGTTAAGCCAAGTCTACAGGATTCCTTGTCCTCGACGCCTCCAGATGGGCTGCGGCGCCAGATAGAGAGCAGCACAGCTAAGCTCGTAAGGCGGACGACGGAAATGGCGCCCAAATCCCTTCAGTCGCCATTCTTGAATGTAAGGATATCCTCGCGATACTACCGCAGCGAGTGCGGGCTGTCTCATTCGAGACGAAGTCGCTATACTTAACTCGCAGGCTGGTCCTCAGGCAGCGGCGGTCAAATACTTTCGACCTTCGTTCATCTTCAGCGCGCAAAGCCCAGCATTCACATCCATAAAGGAGGATTGATCAGATTGATGCACGGTATCCACCAATCTTTGTGACGATGGCGATGTCACGCCGGATCCATAGGCGCTTTCGAAGGATTGAGGAAACCCAGCGAGCAGCATCGA